AGCTGCTTCTTTACTTCATCTGCTACGAGTTCTGAGAGTTCTTTTTTTATTTCAGAAAAGAATTGTACTCTGATTTCTTCTATATCTTTCTGCTGCTGCTTATTTACTATCGACGCTCTTGGTTTATGCAACAACAAATGCATATTTTGTAAATTTTAGATGAGCTGTTAGTGGCAATAATGGTGATGGTTATAGGTTATTATGCTTGGTATGTATATCCCTGAGAAATGGACAGGGAAGGCATTATTTAGATGAGGTTGCCCAGAGACATTCTTTCATGGAAAGTTTATCTTTCACATCATATAGCAAAGGACTGTTCTTTCCATTGCAATGTAATGGTTCAGTGGCAAGCTCCAGCATCAAATATTCCAACTCAATCATTTAACTTTGGGGAGGTGGAGTCTCTGTGCTTTAGCCTGTGTTCTCATTTTTTTTCCCCTTTGGTACCAGGGATCAAACCCAGGCAGGTGCTTATGCCACTGAGCTATCTCCCTGGCTAGCCTGTATTCTCATTTGTGAAAAGAAGACAACAATAGATTTTACTTCACAAGATTATTATGAGTATAAAACAATATGTGCAAAAACATCTTGTGGCATACAATGAACAATCAACAGCATTAACTTTATCTTGTATTTAGCTGTTTTTCAAAAGCCCCACTTTGCAGCAATGCTTTGGCTGACTTGGTTATGCTGGTTGTTCTGTATGAACATTCAGATTCAGATTCTTCAAAGAAGATAATCCTCTATTGGGTTGATTTTGGATGTGTGCAAAAGAATGTGGCCTAGCAGTAGGGGAAGCTGTTATTTTACCAACTCTAAATTTAGAGGTAGAAAAGACTCTAAGGTTGACCGATTTCTTCTGTCCCACCAGTCAGCATGGGCTTTATCCTACAGCTGGTTCCCGGTGGTTGAGAGTGAGTGCTGGTGGGGATAAGACTGCCAACCTATTAACATCAAGAAGGGAAAAGAAAGAAGATGTCACAAAGTTTAGAAGGTAGATCTATCCTTCATTGGATTGGGGTACTTGATGTGCGTGCCCTTCCAGCCCTGGAGCACGGGGCTGTCAGGAGGCTTCTAGGGGCTGGATGGCTTAGGCCAGGGCCTTCACTAGCAAGATAGAGTGGCTGTCCAGGCACTGACTCCTCTTGGTAAGCCTACCCCCACCCCTGCAGTTGGGACTGAGTAGAGGGAGGGGCAGATCTAGGTTCCCCTAGGAAAGATGAAGGAAGAAATGGATATCGTATGGGAAATTCTGTCTTATGTACAGGTAGAGACTTGACAAAGCAGTAAGATTTTGATAACTATAAAATATTCCCCAGCGTCTCTTTGTCATTTTCACCATAGATTATATTAAGATCTTTAATATAATCTTTATCTTGAAAGTTAATTATATTATTTGTATATTTCAGAAAATGTAAGTAAACTCAAGAAACTTGAATACTTGAATTTAGCTCTCAACAACATTGAAAAAATTGAAAATTTGGAAGGTAAGAATTTTCTCTGAATTAAATCAAGATATAAATTAGCTTTAAATAGTATATCATAAATAATAAGGATATTTTTAAAGTTTATATAAGTCTCATTTTAATTTTTATAATAACTCAAATGAAACGGTGATGTATAAATCCAGTAGTAGAAGTTTCTTCAAGTCTTCCTAACCTAGTCTCTTCACTGAAAGTAGTGGTAGTTAGTACTTTGATACATATAATGAAGTTTTGTTTCATTTTGCTTTCCATTAATGGGATCATACTATAAATATTGTTTAGAAAATTAATTTCTTTCTTGGCATTACCTAAATAACTAGGATGGAGTGGCTGGCTATGGAGCAGAATGACCGTGGACTAAGTGTTCTAACCATTTGTCTGCAGATGGACATTGGAGGGCTGGCGACAGAGTCTGGGAGTAGTGGCACATGCCTGTAATCCCAGCGCTGGGGTTCCGGCACTCTGCTGTATCCTGGGCACAACGAGTGTCCTTCTGCATTTCATTTTCTGTGCAAGTGCTCAGTTTTTGCTAAGGTTTTATTTAGAAATGGGATTCCTAGGTCTAAATATGTGCATGTTGAAATACACTGCCAAATTCTTCCCCAAAAAAGAGTATCAATTTATGCTTACACCTGGTGGTCCATGTCAGTTCCCGTTTCTGCACGATTTACTTACACTTTCTATAAAATATTTTTTTAAAGCTAGGTATACGGTGTTGTCTGATTGGTTTGTTTTGCAGTTTACTTATTATTACTGAGCCTGAATATAGAATTCCAGATATTTGCTGAGTGTGGTGGCACATGGCCTATGATCCCAGTACTCAGGAGGCTGAGGTAGGAGGACTGCCATGAGTTCAGGGTCAGCCCGGGCTGCATAGTAAGCTCAAAGCCAGTTTGAGGGGCCTGCAAGAGATAGCTCTGTGGACCAAAGCGCCTGCTTAGGCAAACTTAGGCGAGCACAGGAAATGCGGCTTGATCCCTGGCACCACATGCTGCATCAGCCCTGCCCCCAGGGCGGACTGAGCCGGCCACAGAGTCTGGGCATAGTGGCACATGCCTGTAATTTCAGCACTGGGGAGGATGCGAGCAGGAGGATTACCATGAGTCCAAGCTGTATAGTGAGACCCTACATCAACTAAATACATTACAAAGAAAAAAAAAAAAGGCAATTCAAGCGCATAGCAAGACCCTGATTCAAATAAATAAATAATCTTCAGATGTTTATTGAATATGTGTGTTTCTCAAATGTGGATGTTTCATGTCTTTTTGACATGTTTCTATTGATATTGTTACTTCTCAATATGGTTCTGCCTTCCAGGCATTAGGTCATTGTCATGTATGCTACAAATACTTTCTTTTCATTTATTTCAGTTATGATGCTGATATGCAGCAGTGTTACAGTTTAATATTCTGTGATCATGCATTGAATGTTACGGATTCCAAGGATAGTATGATTTTATTTTTTACACTTAATATTTCTAATACGTGTTAGGTTTATTGTGTAAAATGAATCAACATATACCCTGTTCCTCAAAATGTCTCATGATTAAACTACCTGGACATTTATAAAATTTAAGAAATGATTCCTATACCATAAGCCTCAACATTTTAGGTAGCCCAGTGGATTTTAGTATATGTATCTGTCCCCACCATACATTTTGGAATGTTCTTACATTTATTATTTTAATGTATTTGATTGTTACAGGTTCTCACTAAACAACTCAGACTTGTGGTGATCCTCCTGCTTTTAGCCTCCCCAGTGCTGGGATTATGGGTGTGCCCAACTATGCCCAGATTCTGGCTAGCTCAGTCTGCTCTGGGGCAGGGCTGACATGGCATATAGTGCTGGGGATCAAACCTCGGTCCCTGCGCTTGCCTGTTTTTCTAAGCAGGCGCTTTGGTCCACTGAGCTATCTCACAGGCTAGAACATTTTTATCATCTCAGTGAAACTCTGCATTCATTAACATTCATTTCTCACATGCACCCAACCATTGACAACTTTGAGTCCACTTTCCTTTTCCATAGATTTTCCCATTCTGAACACAGTGTGAATGGAGTCACACAATGTAATCTTTCAAGCCTAATGTTTTCTGAGTTCCTCCATGTTGTAGTCTATTTCACATCTTCATTTCTAGCTGTTGCTCCATAACACTCTGTGGCTGCTGCATCATTAGTTGGTGGACACTGGGGTCACCTTCACTTTCAGCAAGTACAAATAAACCTTCTATGAACACTCAAGTAAAAGTTCCTGTGTGATTGTTGTTTTCGGATTAGTTTGGTGTATCTAGGCATAGGATTGCTGGGTTGTACAGGATCTATGCTTGAAGTTTAGAGGAACTTCCAAGTTGTTTTTCAAAACAGTTGTATTATTATGCATTTACACTAGCAATTTAGGATGGTTCTACATTCTTCATATCCTGGTTACTTTCCATTTTTTAATAGTAGCTGTCTTCTTGGCTGTGAAGTGGCATCTTGTTACAGTTCTGATTTGTATTTACTTAATGACCAAGGGCAATGGGCACTTTATGTGCTTATTGGCCATTGTGTACAGTGTCTGTAAATTTTTATTTAAAATGTTGGCCCATTTTTAAATTAGGTTGTCTTTTCATTGTTGAGTTGGAAGAGTTAGATACTAGACCCTTGTCAGATACATGATTTGCATGTGTGTACTACTCGTTTGTTAGATTTCTTTCCAATTTCTTGGTAGCACATGGTCAGCTTCGCTTTGCGTGGAGTTTTCCTTTCTTGATGTCTTTGGTATTACCTTCAGGGTAACAGTGCTTATGGAGCGCACTGGAAACTGTTTCTTCTAATTCTACTTTCTAAGGATCTGTGAAAGATTGGTATTAATTCTTTTTTGAACACTCGGTAGGACACATTGTACCAGGAAGCCTTCTGGGCCTGGACTTCTCTATGTAGAAGGTTATAAATCACTACCTTAGCATTTTTGTTTTAAGCCTGTTTAACTTTTGTTTCTTTGTGAGGCAGTTTTGGTAGTTTATGTCTTTCTAGAATTTGTCCATCTCTTCACTGCTATCTCATTTGTTGGCATTCAGTTGTTCTCAGCACTCTCATGCAATCTTTTTTTGTTTTGTGAGGTTAATAATAATGTGTCATTTTGTAAGTCTGAGTGCTCTGTTTTTCTTAGTTTAGGAAAAGGATTGTCATTTTTATTGATATTTTCGAAGAATTAACTTTTGACTTTGTTACTTTTTATTTTATATTGTTTTATTTTTCTCTTTTTTTGCTTTGTATTTAGTTTGCTCAGTTTTTCAAATTTCTTAAAGTGCAAGCTTTCACTGTTGATTTGAGATCCTTTTTGTTCCATGTCGGCATTTGTAGCTCTCATTTCCTTCTGAGCACTGCTTTCCTTATGACAACTAAATTTTGGTGTACTGTGTCTTTGCTGTAATTAATCTCAAAGTATTTTGTGACTTCTGTGATTTCTTCCTTGACCCATTGTTTATGTAGGGATATTGCTTAATTTCTACATATCTCTATGTGTTTTTCAAATTGTGTTCCTTTCTTCATTTCTAGAATCATTCAGTTGGGACCAAAGAACATGATTTCAATCGTTGAAAAATTTTAGAATTGGGCTGTGGAGGTAACTTGGCAATCTAAGCACCTGCCGGGCAAGTGAAAGAACCTGGGTTCGATCCCCGGCACTGCCTGCTCTGCTGGCCCCAGACCCCTGGGTACACCATGCTGGACACAGAAAATGGCAGTGGTGGTGCATACCTGTAATTCCAGCATATTGGGGAGGCTGAGACAGGAGAATCACTACAAGCACAAGCTATGTAACGAGACCCTGTACCAAATCAATCAATCAATCAATCAACCAATCAATCAATCAATCGTTTTTTGAAATCTAAAATTTTAGTATTACAGTTATTAGTGCATATTAATTGTATGAAATAATGGGTTCCACTGTGATGTTATCCTCCGTGCGCATAATGTATTTTGATAGCGTTACCCACTGTACCTGCCATGGTCTTTGTCTTTCTAAGTAGTAGTGCTTTTATTTTCATCTCTTTCCCAATCCCAGTGCTTTTTGCCTTTCTAAGTCTGGCTTATTCTATTTAATATAGAGATCTCCAGTTTCATCCATTTTCCTGCAGTTGACATGATGTCATTCCACTTAACAACTAGTATCCCAGTGTGTGTGTGTGTATGCACGTGTGTGCGTGTGTGTGCATGTGTGTGTGTGTATGTGTGTGCACGCTTACATACTTTCTTTAATCCTACCATTTTTGTCTATCTTGGGGGAAGTCCTCTGTGTACTTAATGGAAATGTGTATCTTACGTGGGTGAAATCTCCTGAAAACTTGTTAGGCTGCTTTGTTGGTTTGTTCTTCTGTTTCAAGTGTCGTTCTTCTCTCTTCTTTCTTGGCTGGCAGCTGTCCAGCTGTTGTGTCCATTCCTGAAAGAAGGTTACTGAGGTCTCTTGAGGATGCTGGGCTGTTTGTTTCTCACTTCATTTCTGTCTTTTATTTCTTGTATTTTGGTTTTCTCCTATTATGTTTAAATATATTTATAATTGTTTAATCTTGATAAATTGATCTTATCCTTATAACGTTTTTCTCAATATCTATTTTGTCTGAGTATGGCCACTCTCATCTTTTTTGTAGTTACTGTTGGCTTGGTATAACTTTTCTGTCTTTTAACATTCTACCTACTTGTTTCTTTAATTCTACAATGTACATCTTTAAAACAGAAAATATATGGATCATATTATTTTGAATCCATCTTTTTCATCTCTTTTTAAAATTTTTTAATCATTTATTTATTTGGTACAGGGTCTTGCCACATAGCTTGGACTCATAGTGATCCTCCTGCCTCGGCCTCCCCAGCACTGGGATCACAGGTGTGAGCCCCCACCCCTGGTTTCGGTGGCCAGCAGAGCATGAGGTACCAGGAATGAAACCCAGGTCCTTGAGCTTGCCAGACAGGCACTTAGACAGCTGAGCTCTCTCCTCAGCCTCCAGCTCTGATTTTTTAACAGG